CGCGCCCGGGAGGAGGCCCCGCCATGGGGAACCAGCTGGCTGGCATCGCCCCCTCGCAGATCCTCTCGGTGGACAGCTACTTCTCAGACATCCACGACTTCGAATACGACAAGAGCCTGGGGAGCACCCGCTTCTTCAAGGTCGCCCGAGCCAAGCACCGGGAGGGACTGGTGGTCGTGAAGGTGTTTGCCATTCAGGACCCGACCTTACCCCTGACCAGCTACAAGCAGGAACTGGAGGAGCTGAAGATAAGGTTACACTCGGCACAGAACTGCCTTCCCTTCCAGAAAGCAACCCTGTCCGAGAAGGCTGCGATGCTTTTCAGACAGTACGTACGGGACAACCTTTACGATCGAATCAGTACCCGGCCGTTCCTGAACAACATTGAAAAAAGGTGGATAGCTTTCCAGATCCTCACCGCGGTGGACCAAGCGCACAAATCTGGAGTCCGCCATGGGGACATTAAAACAGAGAACATCATGGTGACCAGCTGGAACTGGGTTCTTCTAACTGACTTTGCCAGTTTTAAACCAACTTATCTTCCTGAAGACAATCCCGCTGACTTCAATTATTTCTTTGACACGTCACGGAGGAGAACGTGTTACATTGCTCCCGAGCGCTTTGTCGATGGCAGTATGTTTGCTACAGAACTGGAAAACATGCGGGACCCTTCAACTCCTTTGGTAGACTTGGCAAATAGCAATCAGCGAACAAGAGGGGAGTTAAAACGTGCAATGGACATCTTTTCTGCAGGTACTTGGGGCCATCAGGAGCAACCAGTGTGTTGTTTATGATTGTGTGTCAGGGTACAGAAAAGCTTATTTGGGGTTGTTTTGTTTTTTTTTTACAGTGGGCTTAGAGAACAGCGTGTGGAAACACTTGCTTGTTTTAAGCATAAGACCCAACCCCAAACCTTTCATTTACAAAAGAAGTACCGACACAGTAAGCTACATAACTTAAGTGCATCACCATGTTATCTGAGGAGGGAAATCACAAACTGTTCTGTTACGGCTCAACTCTGCCCTGGGAAAGAGATGGTTCTGCAAGCCACAGACCATCATCTTGTGGCTGAGGTTCTGGGGGTGCATAACATATGCCTCACGGGATCCAAGAGGAAGAACTAATCAGTGGTTCACCTAAAGTCCAGCTGCCTGGGCACTGAGCCAGCTTTCAGGGCAATTTGTAAATACTGGCTTTAGAAGCCCCTTCTCATTTCATTTTCCCCACAGGCAGGAAGCTGGATAACTAGGTAAGCTCCTGTCATAGTCCCACTCACAAATACTTGATAGAGTCTGACTGTGGGAGCCTATCTTGAGTCTTGGGCTTGTCTTTAGCAGTTTGAAAGCCGTAAGTTTGGCCTTTTTTAATTTAAATTTTTTTTTCCCCTTGAACTGATTGAAAATCTGAATTTAAAGGTAATGGTTACTTCATTTTACAAGCTGCTCTTATGTCCTGCAAACTGCAGGAGTGGGACAGAATCACAGAATGTCAGGGATTGGAAGGGACCTCGAAAGATCATCTAGTCTGATCCCCCTTCCGGAGCAGGAACCTAAATGAGATCACACAGGAAGGCATCCAGGCGGGTTTTGAATGTCTCCAGAGAAGGAGACTCCACAACCACCCTGGGCAGCCTGTTCCAGTGCTCTGTCACCCTTACTATAAAGAAGTTTCTTCTCAGGTTTAAGTGGAACCTCCTGTGTTCCAGCTACACCCATTGCCCCTTGTCCTACCATTGGTTGTCACCGAGAAGAGTCTACCTCCATCCTCGTGACATTCACCCTTTATATATTTATAAACCTTTGAAAAGAACATGTGTCATGTACACAACGGGGAGGGCTGTATTTGGCAATCATGTTATTTCTCGCTGTGCTTATAAGCTTATGTGAGTGAATATATGCTCTTTCCCAGCATCACTGTGGAAGTAGAGGTTGTCTCTTACCTTCTCTAAAAGGGCTACTTAGTTTTGACCTACTGCCCGATCCATGCTGACTTAATGCCACTCTTCTTCCACGTGGTGGTGATGCAGGTTGCTTTTCTGGTGGTATATTTTCTAGCTGGCAAGTGGCTGAAGTAGCTGCCTCATGTTTCCTAATTGCAAACTGCTCTGCAGTTGGCATGTTTGAAATAAAATACTTGGGAGATATTTCAGGGATCATAGAATCATAGAATGGTTTGGGTTGGAAGGGACCTTAAAAATCATCTAGTTCCAACCCCCCTGCCATCAGCAGGGACACCTTCCACTAGACCAGGTTGCTCAAAGCCTCATCCAACCTGGTCTTGAACACTTCCAGGGAGGGGGCATCCACAACTTCCTTGGGCAACTTGTGCCAGTGTCTCACCACCCTCACAGTGAAGAACTTCTTCCTAATATCTCATCTAAACCTCCCCTCTTTCAGTTTAAAGCCATTTCCCCTTGTTTTGTTATTAACTGCCCTTATGAAAAGTCCCTCCCCAGCTTTCCTGTAGGCCTCCTTCAGGTATTGGAAGGCCACTATAAGATCTCCCCTAAGTTTTCTCTTTTCCAGGCTGAACAGCCCCAAATCAAGTGTAAAAGCCAGTTTTTGGATGTTGTCTCCTTTTTGTAAGTTAATTTGATAACTTGTGTGCCTTATTTTTAATCAAACTAGGAGTAGGCATCTTTGACTTTTTTTTGTTTGTTTTTTTTTTCTGTTCCCCAGGCTGTGTAATAGCAGAGCTCTTCACAGAAGGCGTACCCTTGTTTGATTTATCTCAGCTTTTGGCTTACAGAAATGGCCTCTTTTCCCCCGATCAAGTCCTAAACAAAATTGAAGACCGCAGTATCAGAGAACTGGTAAGGATGGACTACAGCATTAGAACCATTTGTGTGATCTGTTGTAGTTTGTTTAACCTACTTTGGTGACAAATTGCTTATTGTTTGAGTTTGTTTTTTTCTTTTTTGTGTATTACAAATGTCTAAACCTTTAATCTTTCTCTCCCGCTCCTCCCTACTTCTGCCTTTCCAAGGTCACTCAGATGGTCCATCGCGAGCCAGATAAACGTTTAGCAGCTGAAGATTATTTGAAACAGCAACGTAACAATGCATTTCCTGAAATATTTTACACTTTCCTTCAGCCTTACATGGCCCAGTTTGCCAAGGAAACGTTTGTATCAGCAGATGAGCGTATATTGGTCATACGTAAAGATCTGGACAACATCATTCACAATCTCTGTGGGCATGATCGCACAGAGAAAGCCGAGGGAGAGACAAAAGAGAATGGGCTGGTTATTCTAGTGTCTGTGATAACTTCCTGTTTACAGACTCTCAAATACTGTGATTCAAAACTGGCTGCTTTGGAACTGATTCTTCATTTAGCACCAAGATTAAGTGTAGAGATTCTTCTGGATCGTATTACTCCTTATCTGTTACATTTCAGCAACGACTCTGTGCCCAGGGTGAGGGCAGAATCAGTGAGGACACTAACTAAAGTTCTTGCTCTCGTCAAAGAGGTGCCACGCAATGATATTAATATTTACCCAGAATACATTCTGCCAGGCATTGCACACTTGGCCCAGGATGAAGCCACCATCGTCAGACTTGCATATGCTGGTAAGAGGAAATCCAGTAAAAACTCCAAATCTTTGGCATTTCTGTATTTCCTTAACTGTTTTCTCCTCTGCTCTAAATCATCACATACCTTGCTGTTTCTATTTCAGTAAATTTCCTCAGAAATGACTGCAGGTAAAGACACTTGTATTCACTTAAGCTAACTGGTGCGGTTGGTGGCAGCAACTTAATAATTAATGAGTTGACTTATATTAGCAGATGAGTTTCCACTGTAGATCTGTATCCAAAGTAAGTAATTACATTTTAAATGATTGGCAAAATGTGTTTGCTCTCTGCTAGATGAATTAATTTTTTTTCCCCTTAAATTAACATCCATTCTTCTCTGTAGTTCTGCTTGTAAAAGCAACTTGGAGAATGTGTACATGTGCTCTGGGCTAGGACCTGGATATACCCACAGCAGGTCTGCCCACAGCTAAGGTAAGGGCTCGGAGTTTAGAGCCTCACGCTCAGGGAAGCAGCCTTGGTTCTATTCCCCAGATAAAAATATTTGTCCGAGCAGTTACTATGTAGCTAAGTATGCAAACAGGTCTTTCTGATCTTGCCCACCCTTTGCTGCTTTTATTAATTCATCTTAATTGTAATTTCATTCGCTGAGATTGTTTAGAGTGGCCTGAGTGAACTGAATAAATGGGAAACTAACTCAAAGCATTGGTGTATCGCTGTGCTTCAGAGTTATTGTCCCACAAAGTTAAATTTGATATTCAGGGGCTGAAATTACATTATTTGCTATCTAATAGACTGGCTTATACTGTAGCAGATGTTTTCTTCATACATTATTCAGATATATGAGTTCTGCTTGGTTCAGGAAAAGGCTTTGTAGTCATGCCCGTATTTGCTATTTACCATGTACCATTATTTGCTATAACTAGCATATTTTCAAGTGTGTTGTTTTGGTTTTTGTTTTTGTTGGGGTTTTTTTGAGTTATAAATGTAGAGTTCAGTTGAAAATGTCCCAGATGATGTTTTTCTTTTGTTTACTAAGTGAGCTGATAAAACTAATCATCGAAGGCAACGTATAGTTAATAAATAGAACCAATTGCTTTTGGTCACCTTGGTCTTCCACATTTAAGGCTTTATAAAAGAACCATTTTATCATGCCTCACTGTTATTTGCAGCTTAGAGAGAAAAAATCTTGTGAAATTCTAGTCTAATCATGACTGTGATAGTTTCACTAGGGTAGCCCTTGGCCAGCAGCCAACACAGTCATTCACCTACTTCCCCCCCACCCCCAGGGGATAGGGGAGAGGACTGGGGGGCAAGGGTAAGGAGGCTGGTAAGTTGAGATAAGAACAGTTTAATAGAAATAAAACTTAAAATAATACTAATATTAAAATGGTAGTAATAATGATAACAGTAACAAAATATACAAACAAGTGACACACAGTGCAACTGCTCACCACCTGCCAACCAAGCCCAGCCCGTTCCCAGATAATGATCCTGGAGGAGCGACAATCCCGAACCGAAACCACAATCCTGGAAGAGTGAGAGCCCGAGCGAAAGCCAGAGAGAGCTGAGAGAGGGAGAGACCCTCACTGATATACTGGACATGACATGGTATCATATGGAATATCCCATTGGCATATCCAAATGCCAGCTTAGCTTATTAATTTAAATATTCCTCGCCCCTTAGATCTTGCGCTTGTAGACTAACAAAACATGAAGTCCTTCACTTCCAGTGACAAAAATGAAAACATTGGTGTGTTATCAGTGTTTCTCTCATAACAAATCCCAGGCTGAAAGCAAAATGCAGCACTATGCTAGCTACTAAAAAGAAACCCAGCTCTGTTCCAGATAAAAAACAGGACAATATTCACCCCTTATTCCATACCATTTACTTCATACTCAGATTTTTCCTGCTAAAAACTAAGACAATAACTAATTTTTAAATGAACTAATATAAAGCTGAACTTGTTAAATAAGCTGAAATGGATAAACCAAAATGCAATCTCTTTTGCTACAAGCGCAAAAAGGCTACAGGTCTCTCTCTACCTGTAGACTTCAGTTACATCTGCTTACACAGACATTCCCTGTGTGTTCAGTGGTTTGATTTTATTTTCAAACTGAGTACAGCTAGAATATTTTCTGAAATTTGAAAAGGTTATGTGAACTGTATATGGTTAAGCCTGATTAAGTTGCCTTAATTTCAAATAGCTTTTCTTTTAAGAAAGCAATTTAAATTTCAAACATATATATTTTTTTATTTATTTATTTTTATTTTTTTAAAGGCAGTCTAATAGCTGAGTTAACTTGTGTTACTATAGCACACTTTTTGGAAGTGGTCAGGCTGGTGACTTACACCAGTTACGTGGGCTGTGGACAGGCTCCATTGTTAGGCTGCTGTTGTCTTGGATGAGACTCGCAACAGCTGCTGTGCTGTGGGACTCGTGCCTTGATGAGTTTATTCCTGTGCCAGCAGTGGACTGACACATATAATATAGCCTGTGTTGCTTCAGCAGCTTCCAAACAGTGCATAACAGTGCCAAATCGCGTGGATAGATATGGGGGCAAATGTTCTAAAATTGGAATCCAGCCCTCACAGGTAACCCTGTTGTTATTTCCTAGAATACATATCCTGACATGGTGGTTTGTTGTTGCTTTGTTGCAGTCTACCATGTGGGCATGTTAGTTAATTCAGGTTAATTGGCCTTTAAGTTCTGTTAAGTTATTTAGTCATTAGCCTGAGATGAGGTGCTGTTTAGGGCTAGTTCTGGAAGACTGAAATTAGTTGTCGTTGCACTCGATATCCTTACAATTTTTCCACTCGTTTTCATGACAGAAGTACTGTGTGATTTGATGTATTTGGTAGCTTTGCTGGGACCAGGGACATAATGAGTTAAAACAGAAGTGGGTTTACAAGAGCATGTGTAATTTGAATCCTATTCGCCCATCATGACTGCTATTATCAGTGGTTATAATATCTCATTAGGGACATCATCAGACTGATGTAAATTGGCAGAGTAGAACAATTCTTAACCAAAATGTTTTCCTTTGCAGAAAATATAGCGTTGTTGGCAGAAACAGCTCTGAGATTTCTGGAGTTAGTTCAGCTGAAAAATCTGAATATGGAAAATGAACCAAATGGTGAAGAAATGGATGAAACATCTCACCCTAGTGATAATTATGACACAGGTAATGTCATTTCTACTACCCTTGCCTGCTTATAATAGCAAATCATGAACCAAAGCTCCTAGTTAGCACTAATCTTCCTCATCTCTTAAAGCTTAGGCTTCCTATTAAATGGGAAGAATGCTTTGCCTCAACCAGTATCAAAGCATATACGTTAGAGCTTCATGCAGAAACTGGCACCTCTGTTCTGAACACTGTGAAAGACAAAAAATTATATAAATGATCACACTTTTTTTCTCCAGAAGTTCTCAAAGTATTTGGCTGTTGTTCTGGCTGCCTGGTTGCATATCCAGCTTCACTCACGGTCCCATAAACAAGTTAGCTGTGGAAACATGGCTGTATTCCAAATACTGCTACCATTGGAGTGCCGGGCAGTGTTAGCTTTGGAAAACCTGACAAATTCTAGCATAGTCATAGTACTGTATTTTTCAGTTGTTCTTTTATTCCTATGCCTGGCAATTCTTGTCTATCTTTTTGCCTAATGATGCTGAATGTATGGATGCCATTGAGCAGTAACCTTGCTGTCTGTGCTATTGTAACTGTAGCACAGAGAATGACTGTATTGGGTTTGTTTGGCAAGGTTTT